ATTATTAATACTGCTGCTTTGTGTAGGTTGTGGAGTCTTAGTGCTTTTGAATGATTTTCCTGCAATGGCTAAGAAAGGAAGAAGAGGGGTTCCATGGTGCACTGGCTACCAAGCTGAAGGAAGGTTTGCCTTGCATGCAGGAGTGCCAATCTAAAGGAGCGGAGCACATCTACATCGTTTTTGTTAGGTAAGTCTGTAGAGTGCAAAACCTTTATTCTTCTATCTATGTACTACTTGTGTAATTTCTTGAGTTGATATAGTTGTTATGCTAGTGTCGCTTGTTATTATAAAAAGTACTTTTCGTTGTGGACATGATGAATGGTGTGTAATGATTATATCTGTATGGTGTGTGTTCAGTAAGTTATTAAGGCCCAGCTGAATTAGTAAATAAATGAGTAAAATGCACCACACGTCCATTAACTTTTAGAGAGGTGTCATATAGGTCCGTCAACTTTCAAAGTGCATATTTGAGTCCCTAATCTTTTTATGTTGTGCACCGCAGGTCCATACCGGTTCGGGAGCTTGACATTTTTCCATTAAACCCCTTTTCCTCAATATATCTCTCTCAAAAAAGCCCCCACCGACACCTTAGGGCGCACGTCCAGCGGGCAAGAGGGTGGCTGCGCCGCCAGGCACGTCTTCGCCGGAAGTGCGGGCCAGACACGCCACCGCTGCGCGCGAGTAGCCGGCCGCCCGCGCCGGGCGAGCAAGAATGCGGGCAGGTAGCCGCGCCGGGCAGCCACGCCGACGCCGGGCGACTGGACGAGCTGCCACATGGGACCAGCGCCACGTCGCCGTCGTGCGAGCGGGCGGCCAGCGCTTTCTCGTCGTGTCTCATCCTCTGCGTGTCAGACTCGCCTACACCATTGACACCTCTGCCTGCCAGTCTGTCTGCCGCGCTTGGGAGTTGGGACTACAGCAAGCCCGTCTACATCACGGCGTGCCGGCGTCGCGCAATGGCAGAGCCATAGGAGAGCTGCAGGACCCTGATGCCCTAGTTTGATCTACAACATCTTTAGTAGCCAAGCTCTTCTTCAGTTCTGTTCGCTTTCTGTATGAGATGTGTTACTTAGATATGTAACTTGATCGATCCACAAAGTTTGCCGTATAAATGATCAAATATAGATTACGTGATCTGAGATGAACAAACACTATTAGCTTCTTTCAGAGAGTTAACTGAATACCATTCAAAACTGGGATGTCACCATTCAACTACTGATCTTTTTCACTGAACCTAGCACAAGCAGTTCCAACATACTACTGATCTTTTTCTGCAGATGTCTGACTGACAGGATTTTTGAAGGTTCTATCAACCTTGCAATGACTGAGTCCCCTCGTTGTTGCATTTACCGCAAGAGCTTAGTGCTTGCTCCATGTCCACTGATGACACGAACCCGCCAATGACAGCACTCTAGCTCCCGACAATGGGCACCGCACGACCATCATCGCATCTTCTTCGCCCCAGCATCCTAGAAAACTTCACGGCCTCCTCCATCTCTCCAAGCTTGCCGTATATGCACACCAATGAGTTGCTGACGAACAGGTAGCCACGGACAGGCCCTTCAAAAAGCCATAGGCATGCACAGGCCCGGTCCTGTCAATTTATAGACCTGGAGCGAAGCTACAACGATGGGCCTTTAATACAACTCTAATAATATAGTGACGTTTCTAATAAATGTAATCCATACTAATCATTCTTATCAAACTAGTTATACATCTTATCTTACCTTAAAATTTTCTTCTAACATTTACTGCTACGAAATCATTGATGGTGGCCTCAATATCAATTTCATCCATAGCAACTATTGCCCATTCATCTGGATTTCTTGTAGTGCTTGTATTACTCTTAAAAAATTTATCAATAGATTCTCTTTGTGATTCTATCAAGCCCTCTATCCTTCTCTTCTTTTTTCTTTTCTCCTTTTATGCATGCTTTTTGGGCAACATGAGTTCACTGTAAATTTAGAAAAGTAGTAAGTAATTAAAAAATATGTCATACTAAATTCAACATGGTTGCTGCACCATATGGCATTCCTAAATCCCAAATCTAAAGAAGCAAAGAATAAAGATTGGGGACCGCAGCAAATATTGATTAGGGGGGCTTAGCCGCTTAGGGCCAGTTTCTTAATTCTTACCTCCGTATATGAAGACCAAGAAGCCAGGAACAGACGAAAGTGGATGCCGCCGGCCAGCAGCCCCTCGCACTCGAGATCACCAAGACGCATGGGATCGCTCGCTGCTAGCAGCCTCTCACGGGAGTCGGCGAGTCGCTCACTCGCGCAGGAAGGCGGAGTCGCGGCCGCGCAGCGGAAGGGCATGGGAACACGGAAGGCGAGCAGAATCGACGCGGAGTCAGTATGCCTAGTTCAGCTGTTCCTATGGGCCATAGACAGAATACTACTTCTACTTGCACATTTGGGGTTGGGCCCCCCTAGCCTCGAGGGCCCAGTGTGGTGGCCCAGCTCGAACCCCCCCAGGGCCGGGCCTGGGCATGCAGCGTGGTCTGAGTCACAGAGTCTGGGAGTGCCTAGCTACCCAGGTCGCCACCATGTGCGCGAACGCGGCCCAAGCTGCGTCGGGGTTAGTGGGTCACACTCATGCCATCATCACCGGCACTGCGTCAAACACGTGGCGAGCCTTGCCCGCGCCACCGAGCCCTGGCATACAACAAGACCTAGCTGGCCACCTCCAGCTGTCTAGGTGGGCGTGTACGGCGGAGGTGAAGAGCGAGGAACACGCGACGCTATGAGGGCGAGCGGCAGCGTGTAGGAGTTGAGCAGCAGCGGCGTGGCTGGCCCTGCACGATCGCCTGCCCGCTTGCATCGCAGCGGACTTGGTTGGTCCCCCGCGGGCCGCGGCTGCCTGCCCACTTGCCCGGGCGATGGTGTGGCTGCCCGGTGCGGCCACCTGCCCGCATTCTTGCTCACCCGGCGCAGGCTGGCAGGCCACTCACGCGCGGCGGTGGCATGGCTGGCCAGCACGCCTGGTGATGGGGTGCCTAGCGGCGCAGCCACCCTCGCGCTCGCGCCTGCTCCCCCAGGCATCGGTGTGCCTACAGTCTCAGTGGGGGCTTTTTTGAGAGAGATATTGACGAAAAGGGGCTTAATGAAAAAATATCAAGCTCCCAAGCGGGTTAAGAACTGTGGTGCACAACATAAAAAGTTTATGGACCCAAAAATACACTTTGAGAGTTGATGAACCTATATGACACCCCTCTAGAAGTTAATGGACATGTGGTGTATTTTACTCTAAATAAATTGTGAAAATTGGATGCAATTTTATCACCATAGGATGTAAGGGTCGTTGGCTGTTTTGTCATCACTGTCGTACCACTCGCCGTTGGTGATACAGATGGCCATCACCGCCGCTATTTGTCTCATGCAGCAGGGGTCATGCAGCAGGTTTGGTGCTATGCAAAAATTTTATCCAGCACTTTTCGCCAATAATCGGATGTTGTTGTAGATGACGAAGGTGACGGAGTTGTTGCTTTTTTATATGCTGTCAATGCCTGTGTTGGTTTGTAGCTCGATGCGTAGCCATTGTTGACGCAGTTGTAGACATTGTTCCCGTCTTTAGATGGAATCGAGAAAAAATATTTGGTGGAAATTTGGGTGTAAAATCCACCGGTTGCTGACGGGGGAACGTAGATCAGCGCTTTTGTCAATTGGTAGAAGCCGCTGCGGAAGTCGTCCGTGGTATTGGATCGAAATGGCTCCAAGAAACCATTTGTCATGGTCCTAATTCGTCGGGGAGGTTTAGAGGTAGAATTGGGGAATTAGAGGGGAAGAACGACAGCCCTAGGGCTGGCCGTGCCTAGAGAGAGGGAAGGAACGGTGGCAGCAGCAAGCTATAGCGACAGTTTCATTGAGGGTGCCATGTAAAAATGCATTTTTAACATCCAACTAATGAAGAGGCCAATCATCAGAGACGACAAGAGATAATACCATTCGAATGGTTGCAAGCTTAACCACCAGAAGACTGTGCTACTAAGAAAATCCACGCATTTTCCAACAAGCCTTGTACCGAGCCAGAGATGGGTCTGGACTCTTCCTCGGCTTAACTTGACCAACAAGTAATCCTAGCTTCTAGGCTCTTCCTAGTCCTCAACATAGATGGGTCTTGCAACGTGCTACAACACAAGCTATATTACCCGTGGTACTGTTTACTGGGCCCAATTGGCTGACTTGTGCCCAACACTCTGCAGCCCGTCACGGCTATATTGGCCTGAAACACCCTCCGTCCTAAAATAGATGATGTTTTTGACTTTTAGACATCTTTTTTTATTGTTGTCTTATTCAAAAAATTTTATAAATATTATTTATTTTGTTATGACTTATTTTATCATTAAAGATACTTTAATAATGACTTATTTATTTATTTTCTCCGTTCTAAATTATAATTCACTTTGACTTTTTTTATATCAACTTTGCTATGTATCTAGATATAACAATATGTCTATATATGTAGCAAAATCGATGTACAAAAAAATCAAAGCGACTTATAATTTAGAACAATGGAGTATTATTTTGTAAAAAAAAGACATGAATAAGACAAATGGTCAAACATGACATCTAAAAGTCAAAAGCGTCATCTATTGTGGGATAGAGGGAGTATTTGATACCCGGGTACCAAATAGCGTGTCAACCACTTTGAATTATTATAATGACTACTAATTTATTTATAATTTAAAAATAAGTCCCTGTAGCCTTGTACCAGTATGGGTAGGCAGGCGCCAGACTTGATACCCAGCAAATGGTTTTATATTTCTTTACTATAAGCAGATAGTGCGTCATAGTAGAAGAGTAATTTGGTTTTGCAAGGAAAAAGCAGTACACATTGCATATTATAGTTAAAAAACCATTTAACTGAAACTAAGTCATGTCCCAAATCACTCACTACAGTGTAATGGAACAAAAACAGAAATAGTTGCAGTGTTACAAAAACGACACAAAAAAAGAAATAGTTATTTTTTAATCAGACCGGGACTTTTATTAGGTCGCTCACGCATAGCCGGTCATGCCAACGCTGGGAGTTGTCTTACTGATCCTTTTTGCAGCTTGGCTAGTGGCCTTAGAATAGTACATGTAGAAGTAGACGTTCAAAATCATGGTGAACACCACGAAGACTGCTCCAGCAATAAACACTCCTTTGCGTAGAGATTGGCAAGTCCAGTTACCAGCATATACCATATTCCTATACTTGGTGTGATATGCGTTCTTTGTTGCTCCAGCAATTAGGCAGGCCTCTGCAATTGCAAATGTGATCCTGCAAACATGTGCCATGAATATATAAATTGTGGGGCTACAAAACGTTGAAAGTACTGAAGTTTTTTTTTTTCTTGTCATGTGTGATAGAGCATAGAAATAGAAATAACCATGAAGATGCGAAGTATATGATGGACCAGGCTCTGCTTCCACCTGGTGCAAGTGGTGCACCAAAGCACATGCATCTCGTAACACCCATAAGCAGTGAATGGCCTGAGAGAAGAAACAGGAAAGCACCAACACCATAGCCAGTAGCAATGTCGGAGTCATAAACACAAAATGTAGTATTGGAGCTGTCTGTGACTATTGAACCCTGTTATAAAAATGTAAAAAGGTAACAAAAATTAATTATCAGGAGAACATGGAGCTCTTATAAATATGTTCTAGCAAACTAATTTCCTTCCCTCCGAGAAAAAAAACTAATTTCCTTTTTTTATTTGTCAAAACCAACAGCACATGCTGAATGCTTTTTGACACATGAACCTAATGATTATATTGTTTTATGTATTACATACATCAGTCATACTTGACATTTCAAAAAGGAGCTCATAATCTTTGGCTTGTAGCTAAGTAAAACTGTCAAAAATAGCCTAATTAACTGTAATATAGCAACACTAAACTTAGATCAAAATGGGAGCTCATAAGCATTGGTTTTAGGTCACTATTAAAACTGTCAACAGTAAACCTAATTAACTATAACATAGCAAAGGTAAACTTGGACCAAGATGTTGGCCAAAAACTTGTTTGTGACCCTATGCAATGATGGTTGCTGAAACATGAAATCATGCGATGGCAATGAAATTTACTCAAAAAAACTAATTGGAATTGTTTTCTAATGAGATAGTCAATTCAATTTCATTCAAAAATAAATATTGCAGGTGCATATTTAGAGTATTGGAAGACAAACAATTACATCATATTTATCAATGAGTTTTTTTTTTTTTTGACAAGGACTCACATATATACTAAACATTTAAACCAGAGTACAAAATTTTGGGAATATGATCCCATGAAACAGACTTGTAGAGTTGTAGCAACCTAGCTACAACTGGGTCAAGATTCAGAACGAGGTGCTTCTCTGCAAAGGTACACATCAGAAAACAGAGCATGAATCCATCTTTTTGCTGGGACAGACAATAGGTAATGTCCCTGCCGGGGGCACTGGGCTTCAAGAGAGTGGCCACGGCAAGGACATCGAGGATTCTCATTATCGCACTCCGATTGTACAGCCGGCGCTCCCCATGACTGATTGACTGGCCTGTGTCTTCGACAATTAGAGATCTTGAGCTGTATGTTTTCATTGACCTTCACCAGACTCTTAAGATGTTGACATCCCTTCTTATCGCGTTGAATCTGAGGACCATCACTGCCCTAAAACGGAGGTCAACCCGAACACTAGGGCCTAGGCAAAGTCTTGCCACCTCTGTCTTATCTCAACTAAAAAATAGAACCTTAAAAATCGATGTAGTACCCAAGAAACACACAGCAAATCACCTGCTGAGGCTGACTGTGCATGCAGTGCACGTGTACACGAAAGCTGTTAGGGACAGGTGTGCACCCAAGTGGGCCCCGTGATGACAGAGGTGGGGGCCACTCCCAGAGCACCCTTGCAGATCTCTGAGCACACGGCAGCTGGCCTTGATGCTTGACAACGAAGTTGAAGCCGCCACTGGTGACCATTGAAGACGGTGTCATTGATCTCAGTGCGGTCGTTGCCAGACTGCGTTGTGTAGCTCTGACTGCTCTTCGTACGTCCTTCAGCAAGGCGCACGTGGGCCTTGAGGCTGGTCCCACCGGTGCTGTCGTTGACGAAGGTGTCGTCCAACGCAGCCTGTCTCGATGTCCTACAGGTCCACCACCTTCTCCGCCCGGTGTGGAACCATGCTTGAGCAGTGGCAAGCCGGGAGTTCTTGCTGGCGCGGACAGCGTCGCCAACGGCTGGATCCACCACGAACACAGCCGGGGCCACAACACCGGAGATGAAGACCCAAACGGGAGCGGTGAGGACGAGGAAGGAGACGGCGGAATCAAAGCGACCTGAGAACAGCACCATGCCTCCCACGCAGCCGAGAAGCGCGGATGGGAAAAGAACATGAATAGAAGAGGGCTTTATTCTCTAACTCACCTCGTTACTCTGGAGGAGACTCTTACCGACCACCACGGCCACAAGAAGCCCGCCCACCACCAAGAGGACGAAGATGAGGAGGAACGCTGTCCTCGACGAGGCACCCATCCGAGTAAACTTATTACAGAACTAGCTAGGCTTAGATGTAGAAGACTGGAGAGAGAGCCAGCCCACCTGCCCCTCCCCACCAGCGAGCTCGCCTGAGGAGCAGGGGGAGGGGGGCAGAGTCGGGGAAACTTTGGAGGCTGCTTGCGTTCTTCTCTCCAGACCTGCTCTAATGCTCTTGAAGTTTGGTCATCAATGAGTTATTATACATATATTAAACCATACTTATTTGACATTTTCACAATTAACCTGAATGTCAGGTGATCTGGATCTCTGTATGTGGCCTCTAGGTTCAATTCTGATAACTAAGACCACAAAAACCACAGAAGCTCTTAAAATCATACGGCTCAATAGAAGAAATTAAATTGGATCCTGGTTGCTTCTAGTAATCTGTAAGCTGAGAATGTGCTTCATCCAAAAAATGATAACTGGAATGGTATTGAGGGGGGCACAAATGTTCTAATTGTTTGAAAGCTAAAATACCAATAGGCAAATTACAAATCTGTGTTTCCCAATTCAAGCCTAAATTTGTTCTTTTACAACATCAACTTGCTAATTGGCCCTCATTTGGAATTAGCTGTGGTGTTAGTCGTTGAACTCCCACTCTCGGTAGTAGCAGAATTCATACTCTCATCGAGAGAGGATGAAACTAGGAGTTGGGGCAATTTTCTGATTTATTTCTCACACAAACTCACACAAATGCCATGCCAACCTGAGGGGTTGGGGATACATATTTATAGGCTGCTAGCCAGCCAAGCATATGCCAAGATGCTAGTCTAAGGTGTTAATATGCTGTCCTCTAAGATGCTGTCCTAAGATGCTGTCCTAGAGTCTAAGATGCTAGTCCTAGATGCTGTCCTTCAGTCAAGGATGCTGTCCTTGATAACCACCATGCAGCAGCCCCACAAAGACTTATCCATCATGTGGCAGCTGTAGCGTGAGCAAAATCGGTATGACGAACGTTAGGGTCAGGCCAAGGAAGGCATTAGCTGAGATTATTAATTCGTTGCGGGGGTGATAACAATGTTGCGTGGCATATTACGTGGATGGGCTACAATATGAAGGTTTCTAGGTGCGGGGGTGAATTAGACGAATATCAATTGTTAGTAGGGTTAAGTAGACTTTTCCTTTGTTATTATAAGATTTAACATTTTGTTCTTCAACATTGTTGATAAGTGAACATATATTACTTCATTCGTAACAATAAAAATAGGCCTTCATGTGATTGTCTTACTCCACTCTATTTGAACATAGGAAAACCTTAAGAACAAAATCTAGTGTCGGTGTTTCGAAGAAGCATCGGCTAGTAAATTTATAATTGATGCGCGTTAGGCCCGGATGGTGCGCTAAAGGATACAAGGTTTATACTAGTTCGGGCTGAATGTCCCTACGTTCAGTCTGTTGTTGCTCGTGTTATTAGCGCCGAAAGAGGTTCGTAGTAGGGGTACAAACGGTCGAGAGAGGGACTGGTTCCAGGTCTCTGACGGAAGGGTCGAAAGGGTGCCAAGAGCCTGGTGACGGCTTGGCTGTGTGCGTGATGTGGAACTGAACTCTCTATGAGCTCGTCTGTATGTGAGTTGTTCGTCAAAAGTCGGTCCCTTTAGTGGAGAGCCCTGCCCTCCCTTTTATAGACCAAGGGGGGAGCAGGGGTTAAAGATAGGAGAAAGAGAAAAATACCAAGGGTATAGAAGGTCCTTCGAAGGATCCGGGTCTTCCTTTTCCCTACGCCTGCCCTGTATAACATGGCAGACAGTGTCAGAAGTGGCGTGTTCGTTGATCTTCGTAGGTCATGCCCTGGCCTCTTTTAGCAAGTGGGTGCGTCCCGTCCCGCCCCCACGAGCGGCGTGTCGGACAGGGTTGTTGATCTCCGACCCCGTGGGGAGCGGATGGCGTGGTGACTGCCCGTTTTGTCACTGTAGAGGACGGGAGTCTCTCCTTGGAACGTAGTGGTTGTCGTATGTCTGTGTCGGGTTCTTCGCCCGGAGGTTGAAGGCGGCGCCTACAACACTGTAGGGCGAAGAGCACACGCCTGCAACACTATTCAGGCTCTGCCACGCCTGGAAGGGTCTAAGCGCCCGTCCTGTCATGTCTTGACGGTACTTTCCTGCAGGGGCGCAGGACATGGTCCTTCGATGCCGTGGTTGACCCGAACATCTTGTCCTACCCTGTGCCTATCATCATGAGGGAGCGGGGTGCAGTTGTCAGGCGAGGCGGAGCTAGTCCTTCGACATCGGACGAGGCGACATCGAGGCGAGCCTAGGCCGGAGGTCCGAGCCCAGCCAGGGGGTCGAGCGAGGTGAGCCTAACCTCGGGGAGGGCGAGGCGGAGTCTATACCTCGGGGCCCGAGGCGGAGCCTAGCCCTCGGGGTCGGGCGAGGCGTGAGCCTAGCCCTCGGCCCTCCGAGGCGAGCGCCCTCCATCCGCGGGTGAGTCTATACCTCGGGGGTTGGGCGAGGCGGAACCAAACTCCCGTCATTCGGGGAAGAAGCGCAGCGGTGCTCTTGTCCGTTCGGGAGTTTTTACCGTTCGATGGTTATTAGTTCCACCTCCTTGGGTACCCCGGTATTAGGTCTCCGACATCTAGTTTCTCAACATAGCACGAGCGCAAGGTTTCGAAAAATCATTTCGATAAAATATGGTTTCCAAAAAAAAATTCAAGTAAGACATGTCAATACACACAATAACCCAAGAATGATAGCACAATGGAGTATCAAAGAATTGCACATGCCACTTTTGTGTAAAAGTTACAGATAAATAAAAAATAATATATTAGACACACTATAACACTAGCAATGTCACAGTTTACATTCTACCTAAATCATGAACCAAAATAAAGAAGTGATGGATACAAGACCAACAACTTTAGACTTAGCAACTGTATTTGAGTGATTAGTCCAACTGTTGCACTTGCATTTGTTGGGAATGTGCAGACTGCTCTTTCCATAATTTGACTATTCCATTATCATTCGCATTTCGTAACCCAAAAATCATTGTATGTGGCCTCTAGGTTTTATTCCAGTAATTAAACCATAAGTACTCTATATGAAAATCATATAGTTCAACAAAAAAAAGAAAAAATAATAAATAAATTGGATCTTGGTTAGTTTGTAATCTGCAAAGATTGTGTTTGATCAAAAAGAGGCTAACTAGCATAGTATTAAAGGGGCATAAGGTTCCAAGCTTGTTTTTAAGAGCTCAAATATCCTAGTCAATAGACAAATCTATGTTTCCCTATTCAAAATTTAGTTCAGCCTTTCGAACACCAGTTTGCAAATTGGTCCTTGTTTGGCACAAAGAAATCTCAGGGACAGGGGCCAGAGAGGCATGCTGAACTTTAGAACATGCAAACCATTAGTTGTGCTTATTAATTTGTTGGCAGTGAGATAAAAATTTGTTATTTGCAAGATCTAATATTTGGTTAGTTCAAGATTGTAAGTAGCTTGGTATATATTGCTTCATCAAGAATCAATAAATAATAAGCCTTTGCCAGGAGATTGACTGCCCACTATGTTTTAACATTTGAAGAATTTATGCTGAAAGACTATTTTCAACAACATTTGAACTTCAGCGCAAAGCACTGGCAGAGCTTCATTGAGGCCAGAAGGGGCATGGCCCTCCCAAATTTTCCATATTGCTTTGAAGATTTATACTTAATCATGCATAAACATTGCTAATATTGCTAATATTGCTTTGAAGCTTCACCACTGGCGCAAGGATATGAGGTATCAAAAATCATCTAGAGAGAAGGCTTGCAAGCGCAAGCTCCAGTAAGACATATCAGCACATGATAATTGATAACACATAGATGATAGCATAGCGGACTATGAACGGGCATGAACTCTTTTTCTTTAAAAAAAACATTGCAGGTTAACTAAAACAAATATCTTAAGGCATCGTGTACCACCAGTAATCCCGCAGTCTATGTCCTTCCTATATCGTGGAGAAGAACAAACAAATGGTGCAGCTACAGGAAACGAAGCAAGGGTGCAAGGGTAGTTGAGTGATTAATCCTACCGTTGCGATTGAATGTATTGGGACTCAGATAGTGGGATATCAGGATAGGCGCTTGCAGAGTGCTCTTTTATACAATTTGTTTATTTCAACATTAAAAAATATTAAAACCAAATAGCAGGAATTCCTTTACAAACATTAAAATTCAACAACAGATCTCTGCGCGTCTTCAGGATGCAGGGTGTGTGTTGTGGGGGAATGCTTGTTTATGGATGCGGTAGGCAAAGAGAAAAAGGCAACTTGCGGAAATGTTAGTACCGTGCTGCGGCGGCGCTCGGCGGCGATGGCGAAGCCAAAGGCGGTCAGGCAGAGGGCGATCACCAGAATGTGCACCAGAATGGAGCTGCTCCCCGTATCCCCCATAGCCGACCCTCTCCTTCGGTTCCCTCTCCTCCTCAGGGCAAAAGGATAGTGGCAACTCGCTCAGTCGTTCTCCTTCCGATTTGCTCTGGTCGCTGCTGCTCGGGAAGGGGAAGTGGAAGGGGAAAGGGAAAGTTATGCGAGCAGTAGGCCAACGCCGGCCTTTGTTTTTATTTATTTCCTTTTTAACATGGAAGAACTTAAGGGCATCACTGCATCAGCAATGTTTGCTCACCGGAGTACTCCGTCATTCTCAAAATAAACTCACATCTCGTTTTCTGAGGAACCTTTTAAATTTTTACTAACATGGAAGAACTTAAAGGCATCAGCAATGTTTGCTTACCAGAGTACTCCGTCTTTCTCAAAATAAACTCACATCTCGCTTTCTTAAGAATCAAACATTTTAAGTTTTTATCAAATATATAAAACTATACTAGCATTTATGATGTATAATAAGTACTATTAGATTAAGGATAGAATATATTTTCATAATAAACTTATTTAGACATACAAATAGCAATATGTCTATATGGTTTAGTTAAATTTACTCGAGAAACGAGTTGTGCATTTATTTTAGCTCAGAGAGGGTAGAAAATAAGTGTGGGACACAACACGATAGTAGATACTTGCATAAAATGTCACGATGGTCATAAATATTGTGGAAAGTAAGGTGGTCCGCTTAATTTTGTTTAAAAACTCCTTTCTCGAACCACCGTATAAGTGTGGTAGGAAGTCCGAGAAATTATATTCTACTTCCTCCGTCCCACAAACAATATTATTCACTTCAAAAGAAATAAAACATTTTTAATTTTGATCAATTATATATAAAAAATATTAACATTCATAATGCATAATTAGTATAATTAGATAAATCATGAAATATATTTTTGTAATAAAGTTATTTAGTGATACAAATGCTGCTAGTATTTTCTACAAAGCTTGTCAAACTTGAGAAAGTTTGACCAAGCTTTGCCACACACCACTCCAAGTCTGCTGCCCCGGTGACGGTGTCATGAACGGGGTGGGGAACACCACCAGCGGCAGGAAGCTGCCGCTCCTTAGGAGGGAAACCACCCCCCCCCCTCGCCACCCCCACGACTCTAGCGCAAACCCTAGCAGGTCAGGCATGAGCCTCGACGGATACGACACGTAGATCGGCAATCTCGAGACGAACCCAACCGGGTGGTTCAGGCGCATACTCCAGCAAATGTTGACACCAAAGGTGGCACACAAAGTAAACCGCAAGTGTATGGCTGTCAAGGTAGCTTTCACCGAGAGTATTCCAGGGTATCGATTTCCATGTGGAACGTGAAGTGATCTTAACAAAGAACTAAGTTCATCCTATGACACAAAGGTAAATGATAGATTGGATAGAGAGGTTTTTCTATGGTATTGAAACTAGATTGGTAAGGTAGATACAAAGGTTGTTCACTTCGGGTCTAAGCCGTTTAGCAACAGAAAGGGATGAGAAGGGTGCTAAACCACCTAGCATAAGAAGACCTACGTTTTAAGAACTTCCCAAACATGGGAATCAAAGGTTAGATATGGCTGTCACCACCTATTTGCTACCACAAACAAATCGTGGAACAAGCTAAGACACAGATAAGCATATTGTCTAGACACCACGTCTACACTATATCTCACTACTCTAATCCGAATTCTAGTGAGCTTGATTAGAGTACCGGGTTAGGGGCGGTGAGCCAATGAACAACTAAAGTAAATGCTTTACCAGAACTAAGGATCAAATACCATAAAAGAATCTAAGATGCTTAGTTACAATGAAGGTCGCATCCGCCGAGGCACAGCTTGGAGGAGATTCCCAACAGGCCTGGGACTTCCTCCACACTCTCCTCACTCTCTCCCTATTTTCTAAGCTACTAGTAGAGTAGGGCTTCGCCTAAGTATAGAATGAGTAGGTGAAAGCCCTAGTTTGGTTTTGGATAATTGATGAAACCCATTAGACTAATCCTTGTATCTAACTGTGTGACTAGATAGGATGGTCCAAGGCCAAGTGATGGAGCAAGATGAAGTCCATGGTGATTGTTGGTATATTTTAACGCACACAGATAAATCCGTAAGCACGGATACCGCTGTAGCTTTTACCCGAAGGTATTCCAAGTATCGTATCTATAGGGAAACATGTGAGACTAACTACGGTCTAACTTAATTAGGGGTAGCAACAAGGTTAGAATAAATAGGAGCATAGAGAGGATAACTAAGGTTCTCTAGTTCTGACTTGGGTAAGCTTATGTCTTCTACTATTCAATTGGGGACATTACTAGGGAAAGACACCAGCAAAGGTTCTCTAGTCCTACGTGCGCCTACAGACGGGAGGTGGACTACAAAGGATCAACGAAGCTATATAGTACAGGCTATATAGAACTTATGTCACACATGCGATCTACCACCTTCTGGAATGCAGGGAGCCTCCACGATTAACCCAAGTCTAAGCACCACGCTTACACTTATGATTAATACTTTAACCTAAAGCGTCTATAGATTAAAGCACTCAAAAGAGAGTCGTGATCCTGATGAACAATATAAACAACTACTTACTTGAATCATAAGTTGATTACCAAAGAAATCTCGAAAGCAAGCTCAAGTAGAACTTGGATCTACCAAGGTACAAGCCATAGAGAGAGCACCGACAGGCCCACACCTCCTCCAAACTCTTTCCTCACCCTCTATCTCACTATCTCTACAACTAAAATATACAGATTGTCAACATCTACCCGGTAGGACAAAACCCTCATGCGATCCATATCCGGCAGGCAAATAATCACCGCATCTTATGTGATCCATATCCGATAGGCAAATAATCACCGCATGGAGACACTGGAAGGCAAGTAAATAAAATAGAATAAAACGGAAAGAGAATTATGGGAAGAGAAAGGAATTTATTGGAATATTACCACACAATGATCATGATCGTGATCCAAATCTCGTTCGTCATCCTTCACGCGTTGCGTGTTGACAACAAATACTTTTTCCCCAAAAAATGAATTATTACCATGCCTCTTGCGGGCTAGGATATTGTAAGTCCAAGTATACATGTTTTGGCAAGGCAGAGCATGGATAAATTCAGATTCATTACTATAATGAATGTGTTTCTAGACATTTTCAGCCTTGGAGGCAACTGATGTTTGTTGTAACTTTCAGACAACAAGCTCCAAGCCTAGCTTTTATTTGAGATTCATTACGATAATGAATGTGTTTCTAGACATTATCATGGTACAATACACATGAAAAATTGAATTGATATATTCTTGATTTTGACTTGGTTAACAAACATCTCATTTAATTTATGTTGCACCCGTTGCAACGCATGGGCACTCATCTAGTTCTATTTATAAGACTAGATCCTATAGAGGACTAATCTTCTCTTGATTGTTGGCTCTGATTCTGAAGATATGAATTAGGGTTTCAGAGATCTGCTGAGGGAGGGGTTATAGGGTTGTTTATATAGGCCGGAGCATCCATCGTGAGCCCTTGGATCAAACCGGCTTAAAGAACGGCGTAGATGCAACCTAGGAGGCGGTGGAGAACCGACATAACGAAGCGGAGGCTGACGGGTGGCCCCAGGGGCCGGGCGCCCTGTAGGTGGGGCCAAGCGGACCCACCTGGCATCCCCTTAGCTCCCGCTTTGGTGTGGTGTCCTCTGGAGTCTTCTAGAACCTTCTAGTGCCCATTTCACGGTGGATAAGCACGATTAATTCTGACATGTAGGTCCGCCTTCACGGTTTTCTGGATAAACCCTACAGAAAATACAGATTCACCAAAACTCATGGAATTTGTTAGTTTAAACCCCTAGACCTTTGTTGGTGATCACAATTATGCCCTTATACATGTTTTATTGACGGTTTATAATGGTTGTTAACTACCGTCAACAAGCTCCCCCAAGCTTAACCTTTGCTACTCCCTTAGCAAAGCTAAACTCAGCAAAAAATAGATCAGGAGTTGCTACAATGCTTTTACTCCCCAAAAATATACAGGCGTTCAATCAATAATTCTTCTCCGGATTAGAATAAACTGATTTGACTTTCATAGTTACCCATATTACCTTCAACCATGGGGCATCTTAGCCTTTCACTTAGATCTTGAGCAATTGAAAGATAGAACGATCAAGTCAAGCACTATGTCTCAAGTTCGTTCTTCCATCATTATTTGGAGTTTTTATAAGTTTTCAAAATAAAACTCAAAGATCTCTCAATATATGTGGTATTTGTGGATCCTCACCAAGGCAATGAAGATGTTATGCCTTTTTCTCTTTCTACTATTAAGGCTTATGTGGAGTTCATAGGTAGGGAGAAAGCTAGAGCATACTTGCAATGCATATATTGTAAAGTCAAACAATGGATTCAAAGAGAGTTGAGTCATACAATCAAATCAAGATGTGCATGTGTGTGGAATATATGGTGGATATATATGGTGGCCAATCCTAATTCTATTTTGCTCCTTAAAAACTTATATCTCTTTTGAAACTTGGAAACACTTGCTAGAGAGCAGGGGCTATCTTATTCATCTCTCTCTTTTTTTCAGGCGGGCATCTAAGTACCCATTGTTTTAGATATCTCGGGCACTTGTCCATTTTTTTCTCAACTCTTTTTTTCTTTTCTTTCCTTTTTTTATGAATAACTTTTATATAGGCTCATGCCTCTTTTCTACAATAAAACTTTTGAGAGATAGTAACAAGAATTTGGAGCATTTATTTGGTGGATGAAAAACCTAATAAACATGTTTTTGTGTTCACCCCTAGTATAGGAGTAGAACATTTTTGGGTGGATCTAGATAGAAGGCATGTTTTTGCGCCTACCCCTAGTGTAGGAGTAGTGCATATGTTGGTGGTGTGTACATGATCTTGATTTTAAGAGCATGACAAACCTCTCATAAGGGTCAACAAAGCTTGACAAAACTCAATGCAAAGCAAGCAACATATATGTGGAAGTTTCCTAACATGTATAGCTCTGGTGGGAATTCAAGCTTTGTCATACAGGAACTCATCA